TTTAATTATGAATAAATAAAAAATTAATTATTTAAATAATATATAAAATTATAAAAAATAATAATAAATTATGCTTAAAATCATTTTCTATAAAATATCAAGTCGATTAGATAATATCAAGGATGATGATACTGACAAAGCATCCAACTAAGCATCCATCTCAGCAAAAAAAACTCCCGGTCAGATGCAGTGCAAGCCGTGAAGAGCGGAAGGTTAAGTTTTAACGGATTGATGACATCATATTACTCCGAGGGGCTGATTTGCCACTGAAGATGAGTTGAGGGGTTCTTTTAAGCGTGAACTGACTTGAGGGGTTGATCTGCCACTGCATGACAAATTGAAGGGCTATTCTGCATGTTTTGCCTTTCATCTTCGTCTCCCTTGCATCTCAACACCTCGCTGTTTTCATCTTCTTTCAATGTCACTCCCTACTTTCTACCTTCTTGTTCTTCTTCATTTCTTTCCCCCTCAATCTTCTGCTCATGTTTAGTAACATTAGCTTAGATTTCTTTTCCCTGATTTAAAAGTTCATTGGAGTATCAAAACGAAACCTAATGGAGTTATCAGACGAATGGAAGTCTCAGTTCCCAATTCGCACCTCCTTCAAGCCGCCACTGCTTCTCTCTTCTTCTTCCTTAGGCCCCCTTTGCTTTAACCCTAAACCCAATACCCCACCAGAACCCCTTTTCTCTTCACCGTCTTTATTTCCTCCTATCCTCAATCCCACTCCTTAACTCTCCCTGTCCAGGTTTCTTTCCACATCCTCTCTCCCGCTCTCCACGGCACACTCCATTGCTTCTCTCTTTAGCGCAAGCTCCTACCATCATGACCCCGCTGCCACGTCTTTTTTGTTTCATAATCACCTCTAGTTGCTTCACTGCCCGGACCAGAACATTGCTCTCGTGTTCTTCTCAACTGGGTCCAACCATGACCAAGTTGGGTTTTTGGTTCTTCAAGTGAAAGAGGGTAAATTGGAGGTTGTATGTAATGAAAAACAATGACGTTTTTGTGGCAAAGTATCGGTTCAATCAAAATATTTTGAGAATTTTGGTGAACCCAGTTGGTGAGTTTGACGATTGTTTAGGTAACTCTACTCTTGATGCTGTTGTTGGGTATTTGATGGCTTGTACTATGTATTCTGTTCATTGGTTTTGTAT